TTCAAAATAATAATAATAATAAATAATTAAAAAAACGGTCAAAAAGACCTAGAAAAGCACAAAGAAAAATCTAGACCGTTAGATCTAGATGAAAATTCTGGAATCTACAAAAAAAAAAAAAAATGAACGGTTAGATGTTGAGAATCCTTGAGATTGAATATGGACGGTTGATCAAATGAACAAGTAAAACCTAAACCTAGAATCTCAAGCCCACTCTATCAGCCATTCAGCCGTTTTACACACTCTCAGTTTCTCTCTCTAACTTCTCAGTTTCTCAGTTCTCATCTCACTCATTCGTTTTGAAATTCTCAAGAATCTCAAGCTCAACTTCTCAACTTTTAAAAATCCTAATTAGGGTTTTTGTTTTCGTTTCATTTGTGTTTTGGATCTACATTTCTGATTTCTCGCTTTACATTCTCGTTTTTTTGTTTTTTCAAATCTTCCTCTCCTTCAATTTGAAGGCTTCAAGCCGTCAAAAGTTCAAAACTCAAGGTAATTTTTTGTTTATTTTTGTTGTTTTCGTTTTGATTTTTTTCGTTTTTGTTTCGGTTTGTTTATTTAGGGTTTTTGTTTTCGTTTCATTTTTGTTTTGGATCTAAGTTCTAATTTCTGACTTTTTCATTGTCGTTTTTTTTGTTTTTGTCTTCCTCTCCTTCAAGCCGTCAAACCTCAAGGTAATTTTTTGTTAATTTTTGTTGTTTTCGTTTTGATTTTTTTCGTTTTCGTTTCGGTTTTTTACTTTTTTTTATTTAGGGTTTTTATTTTCGTTTCATTTTTGTTTTGGATCTAAACTTCTTATTTCTGACTTTTCCATTCTCGTTTTTTTTTTTTTCAATTCTTCCTCTCCTTCAAGCCGTCAAACCTCAAGGTAATTTTGTTGTTAATTTTTTCGATTTTTTTCGTTTTCGTTTCGGTTTTTTTTTTACTTCAAGTTCTTGATTTTTTCTTTTGATCTCCAGTTCAGGCAGTTCTCCATCTTCAAATCTCCTTCAAGCCGTCAAAGACTACTCAAAGGTAATTACTTTTTCCTTTTCGTTTTTTTTTTAATACAGTTTTTCTGTTTTTGTATTTGATTATTGTTGTTGTTGTTCTAGTCTATGTTTGAGTTTACTTCTTATAAATCTTCATAGAGATTGCATATTTCCTTTGCTTTATATCTTCTATGAGAACTAGCTAAAGCCATTGTTTGCCTCTCTTATTTGCTTGTCTGTGGTGTCAAATTCATTTGATTGTCTAAGGTCCCAAAGTGATTGAGACCTTTCTTTTTTCTGTTTTCTTGTAGAGAGTCAATAGCAGTTATAAGCTGCAGGTATCTAGAACCAATAATGTACTGCATTTTCATGTATGCAACATGCATCTTGCTTGCAATGAGACAACTCAATCTGAAAATTCTAATCGCACGTTGAGATCTCAAAATATTTTCACGGTATTTATGTTATACAATATACTCAATATTAATGGTAGTCTTCTATTTTTATTTGTAATGTCATAATTTAACTTTTATAATAAAAAATCTGTTTCAGTTGCGTGAGGTTGATGACGAATGTGATGATTCAACTAGATGCCCTCTGGCTGATCTTGAGGCATATTTGAATGGACCTCGTTCGCGATTAATTCAAGGGGAACATTTTGATGTTCTCAAGTATTGGGAATCTCAAGCTTCTTCTCTTCCTATTTTAGCTAATATGGCAAGGGATGTTTTGGCCATTCCTATTACATCGGTGGCCTTTGAATCTTCTTTTAGTTTGGGTGGTCGTATTTTGAACAAATATAGGGGTAAACTTTTGCCAAAGAATGTTGAGGCATTGGTTACCACCCAAAATTGGTGCCGTGGTTATCAAGCGGATGTTGAGGAAGACGTCCTCCTTATTGGTAGAGAGATTGAAGCCGAAAGTGCTTCATCTGCATAACTGGTATTTGTGTCTCATTGTGGTTTATTTTATCTTGAAAAATCGTTGCCCTTGTCTTTTATTTTCAGACTTGCTGGCAGCATTTTTCAAGACTTTTAAAATCGTTGCCCTTGTCATTTATTTTCAGACTTGCTGGCAGCATTTTTCACGACTTTTAAAATCGTTGCCCTTGTCATTTATGTTGAGACTTAAATAGTTAAATGTATTTTGGTACTTGCTGGCAGCATTTCTCAAGTTTTTGTTAAAACAACCATTGCTCAGTGATGTAAATCTGAGAGCAATTTTAAAAAACAAAAGCTATAATTTTGAAGTTGCTTGAACTTGTTATGAGCTGCTGCCTGCTGGTAGTGCTTTTGCCTTTTGGTTGATGTCTCTGCTGAGTTGTTGCTGCTGCTGTTTTGTTGTTGCTGTTTCTTATGCTTGCTGCTGTTTTGTTGCTGCTGTTTCTTATGCTTGCTGTTTTAATTTTTCTTGAATCATCGTTGCCCTTGTCATTTATGTTGAGACTTCAATGTATATGTACTTGCTGGCAGCATTTTTCAAGTTTTAAGTTAAAACAGCCATTGCTCAGTGATGATACGATAAACGTAAATCTGAGAGCAATTTTGAAAAACAAAAATAAGTTCCTGCTGAGTCTCTTCTGCTTATTGTTCCTTGCTTCTGATAAGTTGTTGATCTGTTATTGCGTAAGCTGGTTCCTACTTGTTGCTGCTATTTCCTCTGCTCTTGGGTGTTGTGCTGCTGCTTCAAGATTCTGCTGCCTTTTGTTTTTAGGATATAGTAGTATACTAGTATTCTAGTATGTTAGCTTTCCTTTTACCGTCTGTTAGGGGTGTAAAATTTTTGATCATGTAAAGGAAGGGAAAGTTTCCCATTTTCTTCTACCATAAATTTCAAATCTAGACATCTAGTTATTCTCATGCAGTTTTATAAACATTTTAGTCCTCCCCCTTTACAAAATACTTGTATAAGAAAGTTTTATAAAGTGATAATGTGAATGATTGTACATTTGTACGCCTTATTGACTAGTACAGTAATATTCTAATGCTTATGCCACTTTTGTAACGCAATCTCATACATCTCCAATCTTATGTTGCCTTTGAGTGTTATTGGATGATCATGAATATCTTTATGAAGGAACAATGAAGATAATTTGGGTGGACTAGCATTATTACTGGAATGAAAATGGTACAAATGATATATCTTGTATTTAAAATAAATAAGTAATCTAAAACGATATTAATAATGCCGTTGGACTAGATCTAGGTGATATAAACCTTTGTATAAACCTAAGCCGTTTGATTAGATCTACATTTATTAACATTAATTGTATTTACTATTTAGCCATTTAGGTTGTAAATAATTCAATTTGAATTAAGCAGTTTGTAATCGGATCAGTTTAAACAGGTTGCGATTCGAAAACAGTTCGATTTTAACGGTTTAACGGGTTATGGCAGTTCAGTTTAGACGGTTAGCGGATTATAACGGTTCGGTTTATATAGTTTTTCCAGCGGTTTAAACGGTTTCGGTTCATAAACGGGTCGGTTTAAACGGTTAGCGGGTTACAAATGGTTCGGTTTAAACGGTTTTTTTTTACGGTTTAAACGGTTTCGGTTTATAAACGGTTCGGGTCATTAACGGGTTTATAAACCATTCGGTTCGGTTTTGTTTCGGTTCGGATTTGAGCAGTTTGGTTTGTTATCGGTTTACGGTCCGTAACGGGTTGACATTGAGCGATTCGATTCGGTTTCGGTTTGATATTGAACGGTTCAGTTCGGTTTTCGGTTTAAATTTATCGGTTTATAAACGGATCGGTCCGTGATGGTTCGGTTCGGTAACGGCCGGTTTCACGGTTCGGTTTGAAAAGTCCCACCCCTAGTTACGGCTGTATTGTTGTTGTTACTGCTTGTTTGGTACCAAAGGAAGTGAATGGGAATGGAACGACTCAACACAAAAGTACTCGTATCATCGTATCAACATTAATAATAAAAAAAAAAAATCAACTTTAAGTATTCTTTAGATAAATTGGTCAAATTACGCAATTATCCACGTGTTATTGACCTTGCTGTTATTGTTTCAGGGTTTTTGTACTTCGTTTGAAAAGTAAGCTAGAAGCCTGGAATGTTGCAGTTAACTCACTTAACTGGCATGAGCACCTACAAAACAACTCTAGTAACCTTTATTATTGGCCATGAGCCAATGATGCAAGTTCATCCCAAATCTACCTTTATTATTTCCAAGGTTTTTAAAGTTTTATGGGAAAGGCTGCAGTCATCTGGCACGAGCACCTGCACAATAACGTATACCCTGCCGATCAAGTTAGTAATTGGAAACGGGGTTTTTAGAGAGAGAAAGGAGAGCAAACATTTGGTATTGAAAATTAATGGACATGTCCCATTAATTAATGATTGGAGTATTAATAGGATTATACGATAACATATACTCTTACAGTTTTGTGCCCTAATTTGACGACTATTGATTGGTTGCCCAATATGTGTGTAACACGTGTAATAGGATAGTGCCATTTTTTACGTCATCTCTAAGAAATAAAAATTTAGGCTTAAACACAAAGATATTTGAAACAATATGAATATGTCATGTTAACTAAAAAAACAGAGAAAGTATTCGTTTATTTTCGAGTATTTATTGATACCTTAAACATTCACATATATGAATATGTGTCATCTCCTTCTTTAATCTGTGTGTATGCGTTTCATGATATTACTTTATACGGAGTAGTTTATAGTCCGTTCATGCCTTATACATAAGATTAAAATAAATAGTCATGTACTCGTGTTATGTACTATTACTTGATTAGAATTTTCTTAGTGAAATGTATAGTTCCCAAATATTAAGAGTATCATCTTTTTAAAATTAATTTATAGTATTATTATTGATTAAAGATATATAATTAATAAAAAAACAAATGTGCCGATCAAGTTGGACCACTTAAAAAATACAAAGTAGAAAGTACAATCTTTTGGAGAAAGAGGGAACAAGAGGGATTCCTCATTCCATATTGATGGGCTAATAAATAATAAGCCACCATATAAGCACCAAGCCTAACCAGGTGAAAATGAAAGGGCACTGAAAAACTCCATATAAAATTATAAATACTCCACACTTTATAAGATGGATAATGTTTCATAAAGTACACTGCAGTATTTCATTCCTCATTTCTTGTTGCCGCCGTCCATAATCGCCATTCTCCGATCAATTGGTATGTAATTCTTTTTTCTCAAATTCTTGTATTTTTTTCCTGGGAAATTTCTGCTCTTGTTAGAAATCATCAACCTACCGAATTATCTTTTTGCCCCCTTTTTGTTCCTGTAAATTTATTATATTTGGTTGATTTTGGTGTTAATTATGAGTTTTTTGTGGGTGATTGTGTGTTTACTGTTTAGGTTATTCTAACTGTAAAATTGCCTTGATATGGCCAGAAATTGAGTTAGATTATCGAATTAAATGCATGGTAATGAGAATCAAGCTCCAAATCAATAGGGTTCATTCTTATTTTAACCCAGTTTACGAACTGCACGCTTCTGATTGTATAATAATGTGGGTTTTTGGTGTTAAATTTGTTTGTTATGTTAGGTGTCGTTTGTTTGCTATGGGAATTTACTTCCCATAGGAATTTGTATTTCATGGGAATTAATTTCCTACATCAAATTCATGGGAATTGTTTAAAATTGTTTGGTTGACATGAAGGAAGTTGCAAATCATGGGAATTTTGACTTACCTAGGGGGGTTGGGTAATCAACTTCCCATGTTTTGTGGGAAGTCACAATTCCCATGAATTTGCAATTCCCTCATTTTCACTTTTTAGTGTCAACCAAACGAACTCACCCATTTTCAAATTCCCATGATTTTTGACTTCCTTCATTTTCTTTGTGTAACCAAACAACCCCTTAGTGATTTTATTAAGAAATCTGTATTGTACTATGTAGTAGTAGTACTTCATTATAATTCTGTTTTCACGCAAAGCTAGTTAGTATTGCAATGTACTTATAAAGTTATAATTCGCTTTTTTGTCCTCAATGTCATTTGTAATGCAATTTTTTAGTATTGCCCCTGACCCCATACCTTATGGTACGGTTATGGTACCGTGATGGTACCGTGAATTTCATGTATTATTTATGTGGAACGCGCATAATTGTTGGTGAAGGATGGGGTGAAATAGTGGTACTAGAACATTGAACACAATCTACCAAGGGGTTAGTGGAGTGTTATAACTGATAAGAGTTTCAGATCTTTGAAGTTTCTTGAATGAATGTCTGCTTCTTACTGCTATAATGTTGTTTTCGTTTATTGTGTTGGTACATTGGTGTTAGAAATTATAGGTGTTGCATGGTCATTACCGTTCTTGTAATCACGATTGTGCAACTTGGGACCAATTTTTTCAACAATCACAGGAGCCATTGGAAGTTCTTTAATCCTTTTGAAAGTTGTTTCTAGATTTGAAACATTGCCAAGAATTTCTTGACTAGATGTCTACTTACAAACTTCTGGGTTTTTTGCCAATTTGCCTTGAATGCTATTGTGCTATCCAAGTGATAGTTCAATCAATTCTTTGATGGTTCATTGTATCTTGTGATGCCTCAATTGTTTTTTTAGCTGTTTTTCTCCTCACCAATACTTACGGTTTTTTTTGCAGTTTGACTCATGGAGCTAGAACCATCTTGGGAGGATCATGATTGTGGATACTTGTCAGTCAGTAAAGAAGACCATACAAGTGAACCTGATGTGTTTGGATCTTTGTTAGAATTAACTCCTATCAATGATGAAGAAAAGGACGTTATCTGTATTAACTCCATTCTCCCAGATGATATTTTAGAGCGAGTTTTTGGACACCTTCCAGTTTCAACTATTATTAAAGCTGGTTGTGTATGTAAGAAATGGAATGATATGTTGCAGTCTGAAAGATTTTTACAGAACCTGCCAAGCACATCACCTCAAAAACCTTGGTACTTCATGTTTACTAGCGACTCTGATCCGCAAGGGCATGTATATGACCCTATGCTTTTGAAGTGGTACAGATTTGAGATCCCTTATGTTGAGATGCCTAGTTGGAATCTGTTTTCATCTTCAGGTTTAGTATGCTTTATGGATAATGACTCTAGGAGAAAACTATATGTTTGCAATCCGGTTACAAGATGTTGTCGAAAGCTTGCAGGGCCTTATGGTACAGAATTATCTGATTACTGTGCCCTTGCAGTCTCATTGGATGAATCATCACGAAAGTATACACTGGCTATAGTGAGATCTAAACAAGCTCCTGGAGAACAGGCAGATTGGGGTCTCTCAATTGATGTTTATAGCTCCAAAAATAAGTTATGGTCATCTCTTGTGGAGGTTAATTTACAAGCTTGGAGAAGTGGAGCTGACAGTGTGATATGTGGTGGGATTCTGTACTTTGTGGTATATCTAACAAGGACACTGGGCTTTATTAATTCCCACTATGGTGTGCTGGCTTATGATCTTGCTTCTGGGTCCTTTGACCTTGATGTGGTTGAACGCGTGATTCTGGCACCTTGTCCTGTCACATGCATGCGGTTGATGAACATTAAAGAAGAGCTTGTTATGGTGGGAGGGATTGAAAAACAAGGGAGATCTGGTGTGATCAAGGGCATTGGTATTTGGGTTCTTAAAGGGAAGGCGTGGGAAGAGGTTTCCCGTATGCCAAACAAATTCTTCAGAGGATTTGGGGAGTTTGACGATGTCTTTGCCAGTAGTGGTTTTGACAATCTCATATACATTCAGGGCTATGGAACTCCTGCTCTTCTTATGTTTGACATGACTACAAAAGAATGGAGGTGGTCACACAAATGCCCTGCCACCAAGAAGTTTCCACTCCAGCTGTTTTCTGGAATTTGTTTTGAACCCCGGTTTGATATTTCTCCGTAATTTGGGATCATTTCTTCTTGACTCTGCTAGATTTCTACAGTACTCATTTCCATCAATACGCGAAACATTAGCATCCAATAATGAGCAGGTGGTACCCTCCTCCATTCGTTCCTCACGGTAAGTGCAGGCAGTTCCTTAATGATGTTACATTCCGTGTAGTTGAGAGTTGGTGCTGCATTATGTTGCTGATGCTTCTTGTTTCCTACGTAGTATTTACTGAGCTCTATAACTGGTGGTAGTTCTCCAGGCTTTGAACCATTGTCTTCTCGTACAGAGACCAAAAAAAATTGCTTCCTAGAAACCAAAATTTGAAAATGAATTGTGGTTCAAATGTAATTGCTAAATGGAATTTCAGAAACAATTTTGAGCTCTTTTTCTCATTTCATTTCTTTGCTTTAGGGCAGTTCATTAAAATTGGAGTTTGAGGAAAACTGTGATAGGGTTGAAAAAGTATATTTTTTATACTAGTATATCTTTAACTTTTGAATTTATATTGGCATTTAATAATTTATGGGTATTATAAGTAATAAGTAATTTTCTTTTCTAGACACCAGTTATTACTGTTTTTATTTATTTGTTTGTAGGAAGGAAGGATTTCGGTGTCAAAAGTGATTTTATTACCGCTTGGATTAAAAGAAGCAAAGCCCATAAGCATGATCGACTCACTTGTGTCTCAAACCATCAAGGACTTGAATTGAGCCACATGAGCTTTGAAGTATCACAATCTGCCACTTAACACATCAGAGGGGAGAGAGTAGCTCAAAACTTTCATCACTCTCACGAGTGAGGTGAAAGCAGCCTTGAGTGATTTTAGCGGAATACCAAGTGAAGGCTTATTTCCTGATTAAATGGTGTTTCATTAAAGCTCAACTTCAATGGGTCGGTTTGCAACCATTCAGCCGCGGCAACTTTCAGGTTTCATCATCAGGGACAACATGGTATTCAAATTAAAATTTCATTCTATAAGCCACGCCTTTCCTTAAAGGTATTCACATAGCTTCACAACATGGTATCCTCAATAATTCAACTTGAGGGCAACAACTTTGTCCAAGGCGTTAGGTCCATTCCATGGGAGATCAAGCACGTCATTAGCAAATGTTGTTCATCTAGTTACTGTACTGAAAACATGGATATTATTCCTTGTAATATCTCTTGTTTAATTTCCATTCTTTCTTCAAATGCTTTGGGAATTCCCTTGGTGAAGAGGACTTTTAATGCTTTAACCCTACTATTACCTTAAGAATAAAGAAAATCAGCAACGAGTATAAAAGTATGATCTACATAACCTAGTGATTAAAGAAACTAAGGCGTGTTCGGCACTAACTTTTGAGAAATTGAATACTGCAATTGTTCAAGGGTAGGATGAGGTGAAGTGGAGGCTGAGGAGCGCGGGGGAGAAAGGATTGGGACAAGTTTTGTTCCACTACATGCAATATTTAATATTTAATGATTACACTTTCATTTAAATGCAATATTCACACCAACACCCACCAGGCCACCATACCGCCATTACCTTTGGGGTGGTAGGGTAGGTCTACTTTCTTTTACGAGGAGGTCTACTTTCTTTTACGAGGAGGTCTACAATCTCTCTAATCATCTACATTTAGTACGGACTACGGAGTATCGTACATTCCTTCGTCCCTAAATTACATTCATCCTTTCTATTTTGGGTATTCCAAAATTGCATTCCACCTTTCTATTTTTAGTATTTTTTTTTTCAAATACACTCTCTTTTTCAGTTGTACTTTTAATGTATAATTAATGTATTTACATTTCACTTTTAATGTTTGGTTGACTAATGTACTTTTTCAGCCTTTAATTTTTCAGAATCCTTGTGCCAAATTACAATGAATATGATTGGTTAAAAATTTTCAATTAGGAGCATGTGATTGGTCCTTTTTTTTACAAAGGATTGATGACATGTGATGAGTAATTACTAATCTATCTTTGTTTTACTCAAAAACATTATTTAATGTTTTGTACTTCCCATTACATTATCTAATTATTGTTATTTATCTTATTCTTTCCTCCTTAATTCCCGTGTAAATTTCTAAAGAGCAATGTAATTTAGGGACGGAGGGAGTACTACATATATACTCCGTATATCAGTGGGTGGGCGCTTTCTTTTTATCATAAAAAATATATATACAAGTATCATACTCCATACAAGATTATTTAATACGGAGCACGACGTATTTATAGACTTTGTGAATTTGTGATGGACTAGCGTAGAGTCTTAGTGCACTATTCTCCATAAATTAATCATTAAAATAATCAAAAATAATTAATTGGAAATAAAATGCCACTCTTTCAACTCGGTAAACTTTTCGAAGTTTTTTAAATTTTTTTTGGGCATATAAGCATGTAATATCCTTCTTATTTTAATATTAAGTTGGGAATTTATCGACAATTTACGAGTAAATCGGTGTAATAAATGTTTATTTATTGTCTATTTTTTTTCACTTTTAGCTTCTTATATGCAGCCCTTAGGGCTAAGGGCCGCATATATCTTTTTCCTTTTTTTTTACTATAATTGTGAACTATCCCATCAATACATTATACATGTCCTCTAAAAAAAACAAAGGTATAGGATTAGATTTGCACCAATTTAACACGCAACAAAATTAAGCATCGAGCACACATACATTATACTCCGTACTACAGTAGTAGGAAAATTGTTTACAGTAAAAATTGGCTTTTTGTGCAAAGCAGCAAATTGGATTTCTGTCGGCCTTGTTTGGATGTTTCAGTAAGAATCAAAAGGAGTAGTCCCATCTAACTTGGATGATGGCATTAAACGATCGTCTCTCTAGATTCACTTTGCTCATTTCGAGATTCCCATTTTTAGTAACAATTTGTGTCAAGTTTTTTTTGAAAGACATATGTGTCAAGTTTTATGCCTTTAAGGACGCATCTTAGGCCAATGCTTCATATTAACGTTATTTTAATCTTACTTTTTGCTAACTACAATATTATCGATTTGGTAATGAAACACGCAATTGCTACATCACTACACCCTACACGTATTTAATGCTACTCTTAAATGATTATGCGAATAAAACGCACTCTCATTGTGTTATATAAACAAATAATCTATTGCGCGTTGAAAATGAGTAATTCCTTGTTAAATTCATTACGTGAACAAGTAAACTAAAAAAAAATTGAAAATGAGTACATAAACCAACCCCTTTTAACTTTTCATAGACTTTACTCGTATTATTTTTCACAAATGTATTAAAATTGACCTAAATGAATTTGAGCACACTATAATACGAAGGATATCTCTAGATTCTCTCCAAACTAACGTTCAAAAATTCCTCTTTACCTCATTTATTTTTCATCATATCGTTTGATTTTAAAACCTTTAACTCGATCTTCTTATATGATAAACTCATACTTCGTGCAATAAATGGCTTAGAATCACTACTCATAAAATGTATTCGTACCATCGTAATAAATTTACCATAACCAAGTATGTTTGGTGGAGGTCAACCGGTCAAAGTAACAAATTCGAATGTCATCACTTTTACATTCACTTGAGAGTTATTAAATACTGTATTAAGCATTAACAGCGAAGGTCATAGCTTACATAGGGGACCAATTTGATCACCACATTTTGTAATAATTACAATCATAATCCGTACTTTTTGTTTCTCTTCACAACTCTCTTTCTTTCTCCTGGAAATTATTGTAGACTTCCAACTTCCTTGAAGATGACACCAAATTTTTGCCAGGTAGCAAAAACCCACCTAAATAAAATTTAAAAAATAAAAAGAAAAAACATAAAAAAAACAGAAGAAAGTAGAAATAAAACAGAGGAAGAAAGAAAACCAAAAACAGAGTATATCTGAGTTTTCTGACTGAAGTGAAAGCTAAACTCATCAGACACCCAAAATCCACAAAAAAAATCAAGCAAAATCAAGAAAAAAATGGGTAAAATCCAGAAAATCAGTCAGAAAGGAGTGAAATTGAGGTGAAAGATGAAATCTTTAGTGAGAGAAAGAGGGAAATTTAGAGAGAGAAATGAAAATAAGGGAAGAAGAAGAAGAAAGTGGGGAAAAAGGTACAATTTCAGCGGAAAAAAAGGATGAATTTTTTAGTAGAAGAAGAAAGTCTTTGCCTTTATTGGCTGCCTGTAAAAGGGGTTTTTGTGGGCCCAGAAATTCTACTGTTACTACCCCAGTCATCTTATGGAAGGAGGTTGTTGTTGTTGGAGCTCAAAACACCATAATTAAAGGCAACAACAAAAACAACACTTTTCCCCTTTTTTCTTCATTTTCTCTCTCCTGTTCTTCTTCTGCTGCTGCTCAATTTTCTGCTAGGAAACTTGGTTCTGTGTTTTGGGAGTTTCAAAATTATTACAATTCTGAAGAAATGTATTTGGGTGTTAATAATCATAATCAAAGGGGTCGTAGAATTCATCATAGATTAAATAAAGATGAGGGTTTTGATCATAATCTTCATCAGATTAATGGACATCCCTCTTTACCTGTTGATCCTCATAGAGGCGGTTCTTCTGATTATCAGGTTACATCTTTTACTCATTCTATTTCTAGTTTTAAATTTGCTGTTTTAATTTGGGTTTTTGATTGTAAAACCAATTGTGTCATATTTGCTGTTTCTTTATTTAATTAAAGTTAGTGAGACATGAAGGGCAATGATAATGATGTACACGGAATTTGATCCGAGACTTTGTTTGCTTATTCCTTGATTTAGAATTGGATTTTCTGTTTTAAGGCCTAATTCATGAAATTTAGTTAATTTTGTGTGGGTTTATCAGGAAGCTTTCATCTGTTGATACTGATGGTACATTCTGTTAGTGATATTTGAAATTTTTGTTTTCAAACCCTATTTGATGATTTTGTTGGGTATAGTTGATTCTAGCTTTTAAGTCATCAATAACTAGTTAAGTTTGGTGAGCTTCTTGTGGTTTCTAAAGATGGGCATGTTTACATTTTTGTGTCTTGCCTTTTGTTGTAGGATGTTACAAGATTGTCTTAGTTACCCAATTCAGATCTTCATTTCTATCATTATTTTGCTGTTAGCCTGTTAGGTCAGTTTAGTATCCGAAATTTAGCTCATGTGCTTCACTTTGCTATGACTTGTGGTTTTTTTTTTGTTGTTACTTGTTGCCATTGTATGAACTACTAGCACCTAATTGATGAAAAAGCCAATCCTTAATGATATTATGTCAAAGCAGCAGAAAAACAATGCTGAGTTTTTGTTGGATAGACAGCGACTTGACAGGGTATAAGACAGTAAGATCTTCTATGATAGGAATCGGACTTCAGAGTCTAGATGGCCTTCTATGGCGCTGATTGATTAATTGTTCCCCAGAGGAGTTTTTATGAATTGTCTGATATAAGTCGAGGACTTAAGACTTACTATTATTGCAATCATTGCTTATTGAGCTTGCTTTGTTAAGTTGAGTTTTCTCTAAATGATGTTTTGACCCTATTGATGTCTATTATAGTTGTCTGTTGAGCAGTGCTTGCCAATGTAATTTTGGAAACACTTAATGCTTTATTTACTTGGATTAAAAATTGTCTGACAAAGAATTCAAGGAAAGTTGCTTAGAGTATTTCGGACATGCCTTGTGGAAAGTTGGAGTTTTAGCTATTTTAGTTGAAAGGCATTATCCTATAGGTAAATTGGAGTTGGAATCCTAGGATAAATGTCCATTGTTGTTAAAGAAAGTTTCAAGTTCTAATGAATTAACTTATCCTGAAACTTATGAGTGGATTTTAACTTTCAAAAACTGGAATAAGGAGTAGCTCATCATGTTTAACTTTTGTGTATTGAATCTGATGTGCGGCAGCCTTCAAGTGCTGGTAGCTTGAGGAGACATATTGCAGCCTCACTGATGCGGCATCATCAATCATCAGAAAGGAATAAACACGCGCTGCAGCCTCTTTCTCCTGCAAGCTATGGTAGTTCCTTGGAGGTACTTATCTTTTAATTCTTTAATTATTTGTATGTACCAAATTTTTGAGCAATACAGAGAGGAATTTTTTCCTCTTAATCAAACCAAAGGTACTGTTTTGCTTAGGATGTGCAGTTTGTAATGTATGGCCACTAGTGAAAAACAACTTGAAGTTTTCATTTTGAGTTTGGCAACACATTTTGATTTCCTGTATTGGGGCTTTTCTTTGATTCAGAAAGACTGTCCTATGTTCAGATTCACCTATGGAATTTGTGGGCTCATATACAATGTTTAAATAGCGTGTACTGTTTGGTGTATGATCAATTGATCAGAATAGAGCTCCAAAGGCATCTCGTAATGCCTGCTTTTTGGCAGTTGAGTTTACAATTCTTTTGCACTTATCTATGACTATCGCCAATTCCGTCTACTTGGACTAGTCTACTATCACAGATAAATATCATAGGGTAGCACACTAGCACCCATACCTTTCTCAACTCTTATTTCTAGGTCTAATTGAATTATCCTTGCATCATTGCAACAACTTGAATGTTGCTTATTTTGACTAAGCCATATTATATATTTTGCATTTTTTGGCCCTTCTTATGTGTAGTGAAGCCGTGCAATGAATGGAAACATAGATTAGTGTTATGAGGGTTAAATTAGTGTTTGAGGGTTAAATTAGTGTTATTCTTCCCTTACCTCTCCTATGAACTGTGGTGAAGGTGCATATTGGAAGGTAAAGTACACCTCGGCTGGGTGTATCTCTAAAACATAATCATCAATAAAATTGTATCTCCAGAGTCCAGATCTTTTTCAAAGTGCCAGAATGTGCAGTGTTGCTAATAAAATTGGGTTGATCAATGCTCTGGCTGATATAGGCATTTCAGGGGGGATAGATTCTCTTTTCTGTTAGAGGACTATTTTGTTTTCTTTAATTTATTTCTGTTTTTAATAATTTGACTTGTCCTTATTGCTGAATGACATGTGGCTGTGTGTGTACATTCAGATGGCTCCTTATAATCCAGCAGCAACTCCTGACAGTTCAATTGAGTTAAGTGGAAGGATGGGTGAACCTAATTACGGCTTTAAAACATCAACCGAGTTGCTTAAAGTGTTGAATCGTATATGGACACTTGAAGAGCAGCATGCTTCCAATGTGTCTCTGGTGAAAGCATTGAAACACGAGCTTGATCATGCCCGTGGTAGGATAAAAGAGTTGCTCAGAGATCAGCAGGCAAATCGTCATGAGATCGACGAACTAATGAAGCAAGTCTCACAAGATAACATGTCTAGGAAGAGCAAAGAACAAGAGCGGATAGAGGCTGCTCTCCAATCTGTGAGAGATGAATTGGAAGATGAAAGGAAGTTGAGAAAACGATCTGAAAGCTTGCATAGGAAGCTAGCTAGGGAGCTGTTTGAGATCAAGGTGGCCTTATCAACCACTCTCAAAGAGCTTGAAAAAGAAAGAACATCAGGTGAGCTCCTAGAAGAACTTTGTGATGAGTTTGCCAAAACTATTAGGGAATATGCAAAACAAGTGCACGATGTCAAACACAAGTCTGACAGGGACTGGACTGGCAACACTAATCATGACAATTTGATCCTACACATTTCCGAATCTTGGCTTGATGAGCGAGCTCAGAGGAGAGACAGGGAAGCACAGAGAGCATCTGCTGTTGTTGACAAATTGAGACCTGAAATAGAAACATTTCTCACAGCTCGACAAACAGCTAACGTAGACACTAAAGAAACTGATCACAAAGAGAGCCATTTAAGGCGTCGTTCCCTTGAATCAATTCCTGAGATTGGAAATGCTCCTGAAGATTCAGCTGCGTATTCTGATTCTCGTTGTGCTGAGAAAAGCAAAGTAGGCCTCATCCACTACGAAGAGCAGGAAGAGCTTGCGTTGAATGGGAGGAGGAAGGGTCAAAGTCCTCCTAGTGTGCAGATGTCGGAACCTCAAAACACTCGGGAGATTGACTCTAGAATGAAAACAGGCGAAGGAACCCCAACAGAAATCAGCATGCTACAGAAGTCTGAGATTTACGATTCCTACCAAAAGAAGAAGAATTACGATGAAGAAGGGCATGCATCAAACTCAAAAACAGTTGACAAACTAATTAGTGAGTTGCTGTTATCAGAAGGTGGGAGTTTCCCTCCTGAATATGAATACAAGGAAGCTGCTTCGAGTAATCCTTCTACATTGAAAAGGCATGCAAGCCCGGTGAGACAGTGGATGACAAACATGAGATCCCCGGACCCCAAAATTTCTGAATCATCTTCAAGATTGCAGTCAGTGAGAGAGAATTCCTTAAAAGCCAAGTTACAAGAACCCAAGTCTAAAGGGCAGCGTTCACGTTTGAAAATCCTAAAAGGTGCATCCTAAAAGGTTCGTTATGAGTCATGACTCATATGAGACTATTGAAGAGTTTAAATGTATAGCTTACTGGATTTTTTTTTTTTGGTTTTCTAACATGCTTTTAGTCTTTTAGAGATAGATTTATCAATTAACTTTGTGAAATGCCCTGGTATGTTTTGTAATGTTAGTTTTACAAATTTGTACATATCGAAAAATCACGATGTTTTAGATTTCCAATGGTATCAAGTCAGGGATGTTGCACATTTTCAGTAAATCAGGTTCTCTTTTGGGAAGAAAGGAAGAAGTATCTTTTACTTCATGGTCATCGGATTGTTATTCATGCCTCCAGGATAAGTAATGTGTACACATAAATTTTTATTGTAGTTTCCTTTTTTTATCAGTTGAATTGAATCAAGTTTTGTTGACATACATTTCTTTCTTTGTCTTGTAATCTCCTTTCAGTCCTTTGTTGTTAGCTTTGGGCCTTGTTTGGTTTGGCTTTTGGCTAGCTTTTTGATTGACTTTTTGCCTTTTCTTTTGGTCAAACAACCAAAATACATGTTTGGTAGCTAAAAAACCGGCTTTTCCGCCAAAAACTAAAAGCTTTTGGTTTTGGCATTTCATTACTATCCTTCTTGTCGACACCAAAAATCTTAATTAAGAACATTATGAAACAAAAGTAGCATAAAAACTAATATTCAGCACCTTATGGACGGTAATTGTTTATTTTTTAGCGCTATAGTTTGTATAAAATTGCTGATCTTATTTACTAAACAAATCTTTTTTCCCCTTACAAAAAAAAAGAAAAACCTTACTTATTTAAGGCCAAGAAAACAACAATAGGCCTAGATTGGAGAATAGAAGAGTTGGAAGTTGGGAGTTTTGGGAGTGAGGAAAAATGGGGAGTGGCGCAACTTTGAAATGGGTGTTGCAATTACACAAAGACGTACCAAAGGCTGCTCGATTTTATTCCGAAGGCTTAGACTTCACTCTCCATCTCTGCACTCTTCGTTGGGCCCACCTTCAATCCGGCCCTCTCAATCTCGCCCTTCTTCAACCCTCTTCTTGGTATCTTTCTTCTTTTTTCTGTAAATTATTCACTTTTTGTTTTGTTGTTGCAATAATAATCATATGAAGAAAAACAGTTATACCCTTTTTATGGTTGCATAATATGGTCATGTTATTTGCACTTTTTTTCTTTTTTCTTTTTTTTTTTTTTTTTTGTAAATATTTAATTTTGTTCTGGGTTTGATGTATTTTTTTTCTTGTATATAGCAATTAGAAATTGCATGAATTATACCCTTTTAGCAAAGTGTTAAGATCTTAGCAAAATTTGGGCATGTTTGGCAAATTTTACAAATTGCAGTTGCAGGTACTTAGTGTACTAGTGTTTAGCTGTTCTACTGGTTTTTAGTGATTAGGTGTTGATTGTAACCATTTGGTGTCAAAGTTAGAAAATTTTCAAGGTAATTCTATAGGTACATTTGGTTTTAGGATGAATTTCTGCTGCATTTGAAAGGTTATCTCAAGCTCTAATAATAGCTACTGTAAAACCACTACCTTGCCAAACACCAAAGTTCAGTACTTCAGTTTAGTCGTATCTTGACCTATTTAAAACTCCAATCATAGTTGCTTGCTGGAATTTTCTTATGAAAAAACCCTATGCATATTTCTCATTTTGGTTGTCTATATACTATCATTTTCAAAATACATGTATGATGTTGCTGATTTTTCATTGAGACGCAACGTTTTTTTTGGGCTGGTAATTAGTAAGTAATTCAAGCAACAAGCTTAGTAAGTTGGGATATCTTCAAAGTTACAATTTTTTGATTAATCAGTGGGCTGTGCCTCGAGAATATAGAGGCCAAAATATGGCTCCTCTCTTCAGGTGAATATAGTAAATAAAGGTACTTTGATGAATACAAAATTTTAAGGTGTTAGGCTGATAGGAGAGAGGATATGCTATAGGGATTAGTATGATATGCTATAGGGATTAGTATGATATACGAAGAGTGTACGGAGGAAAAGAACCCTTAATTCACCTAGTAAAATATTCAAGGAAAGATGATGACCATGTTGATACAAAATGTATTACAAGATTGTAGTTTCCCTAATACCAATCTTAATATGGAAAAGGTCACTGAGATGCAACTGAAAATTGCAGTTACCTATACACTTTGCAGTGAGAAGTGAGAAAAAGGTAAATGTTTTTTTTTTTTTTTTTTTTTTTTTTTTTGCGGAACAAACCATAAGAGAGAAATTGCATTTTTTTGTGGAGTGGAGGGAATACTATGCTTTTGGAGCTGGTCAGCAATGAAGGGATTGGACAAGAATCTCATGGGAAGGAGGTCCAAATAGATTAATGTGTCCCCATCAATGAGAACAACCTTACGTACTAGGAACTATGGCCTCATCAACAGGTGCTTAGATGAATAGGAAAGCTACACTACATCTAGAGAAATGGTCACCTTTTGTGTCAAGTAGTGTTTTTTTAAACAAGGTTCGATTAAAGCTAGTTTTAAGAGTGAAAAAATCGTCTCCCAATTGCCTATTGCTTACTTCTTTCCAGTCTACTTGCACAAAAAGAAAATGTAGTAACATTTGTTTGGGTCAGGACTCAGGAGTAGCTGATGCCTGCCAGACTTATATTAGTTCATGCTTGGTATTTGGTGACCTGAGAAGGAGAACATGGCTACTAGGTAATCACTTGGTTATATTGGTATGGTGTTGGCTTAGTTTATGTGTGTCCTGTGGTAATTGATAAATTTAAAGGGGGGGGGGGGGGATCAGTTTGATGGTTCATGCAACTTAACCTGTGATAGCTTGAAGTCTAGCCTTGATGTATTGCAATCTTACATATGGTTAAAAGGTGGTGATAGTATGAAGTCTAGCCAAGATGCAGAATGTAGTGACTTTTGTTTGGGTCAGGACTCAGGAGTGAACGTTTTGTAGCAGATACCAGGTGCCAGACTTCTATTAGTTCATGCTTGGTTTTTGGTGACCTGAAAAGAAGAACATGGCTACTAGGGAATTTCTTGATTATATTGGCACGGTGTTTATGTGTGTACTGTGTTAGTTTATATGTGCGTACTGTATTAGTTGATAAGGAAAAAAAATGGGGTCAACCTGTGATAGCATGAAATCTAGCCTAGATGCAAGTACAATTTTCATATGGGAAAGTCCTAGTAAATCGTCTTTGATCTATTTACTCCTCTCTTGGGTGGGGTTATACTATTTGTCGTTTTTAAAATTTCTTGGTGTTGCTGATTATTCATTTTGGTGCAATGTTTTTTTGGGCTGGCAATTACTTAGGAAAAGTAAGCTGGGATATGTTCCAAGTTACAATCTTCTGATTAATCAGGGGGCTGTGCTTGAGAGTGGAGGGGCTCTTCTCTTCAGGTGAATATAGAGATTAGAGCCAATAGAGGTACTTTTTTAGTTTCATGAATACAATTTTGTTAGTCGTTGAGGCTGATAGGAGAGATGATGTTCTAGAGAAACAACTACAAATATGATATGCTAGGAGTGTGAGGAAGACAAAGGAAAGGAAAATAATTCTTAATTCACCTTGTAAAATATTCCAGGAAAGAAGATAATCATGATGATACTTAAAATTTTATTACAGGATTGTTGCTTCCCTCCTATCAATCTTATTATGGAAAAGATCACTGGGATGCAAATGAAAATTGCAGTTACCTATACTTGCAGTCAGAAGAAGAGAATTGGGATGGTTTTTGTGGACAAACAATAAGAGAGAAATGGGATTTCATTTTATTTTGTTTTGTTTTGTTTTTTTGGGCGCAGAGGGTATGCTATGCTTTTGGGGCAAGTCAGCAATGAAGGAATTGGACAAGAATTTTATGGGGAGGATGTCTAAATAGTCGAGTCAGGTTTTATGTGTCCTGATTAAAGAGAACAATTAAATAGTAAAAGTTTCAATGACTGCACTAGGAACAATGGCTTCATGACCAGGTGTTTGGATAACACTGCCCATCTGGAAAAATGGTCACCTTTTCATGTCATGTTGTGTTTTCAGTAAGGTTTGATTAAAGCTACTTCCAAGAAATCCACTTTGTCTCTCACCATTGTGAATTATCTACTTCTTTCCAGTCAACTTACACAAAAAGTAAATGCGGTAGCAGATTCCAAGCACCGGACTTCTAAAAGTTCATGCTTGGTTTTTGGTGATCTGAGAAGGAGAATATGGCTTGCAGGCTTGGCATGGTATTAGTTTAGTCTGTGTCAGAAATGTGTTAGTTGATGAAAAAAAAAAGAGGGGGGAAGGTGGTCAGTTTGATGGTTAATGCAAATTAATTTGTGATAGCATGAAGTAATGCCTAGATTTTGGTGAAAATTTTAAATATGGTTTGAAGGTGGGGATTAAGAATAAAGGATTCAGGAAAAAATTGTGGTTGATAGTCTAGCACTCTAGCTCTAAAGATCTATTTTCATGGCATTTTTTCTTTTAAATACCTATCATCCAACCAGCCTCTGTTGGAACTCTTTTTTTTTTTTTTTTTTTTTTTTTTTTTTTTTTTTTTTTTTGAAACCAACGGAAGGCAATTATATTAAAGAAGGTCAAGCTCCGCCAAATCTAGAAGACTTTGGGGAAACGGACCGAAGTATGCTCAGCCCTATTCTCAATTGTGGGGGCTTGATTTTGGGGGATAGCTGGATAGGCTTTGAACCAGGGAAAACACACTAGCATCGTAAGAGTAGCAGCATTGTTTGCTTGGGAAGGTGAAATGAATTCATATGATATGTTTACTTCAGTTAGTTAGTTAAACGCCATGCATGATGATAAGTATACTGAAAATCAAATAGCTTTGGTATTCTCCCTTTAAAATCCATCTTACAGTGGGGCACAAAGGACTACATTCTGAGTCTGGATTTTGGAGGTCATCCTAAGACTGGAGAGGTTTTGTGCAACTCACAAACTGGAATGTTTATGTGGATTGTTAGGCTGGAAGAATTAGTATCCTGAATGAAATTGGTATTCTGTAATTATGAAATGTACATCTGCAATCACCTATGTGTCTTTTTCTGCTTGGAGTGTTAAATATGGTGTCTAACTCCATTTGGAAAAGATTGTATGTGGTTTGTTGTTGTCAACTTTTCTTACAATCCCACAGTGTTTTTCCTTATGGAACCCAACTGCTTGAAAAGGGTCAACGCTGGTGAGTTTTGCACCTCCCCCCAGTGTTGCTTTCTAGCATCGACATTACAGCCATTCTGTTAAGGCGGAGTGGGTGACAATTTGAGTATAGAGTTAGTGAGTTCCTTGCTGATCACTACCACTGCAAAGATATGATAGGAGATGGCATGGATATTCTTTTTTTTTTTTTTTTTTTATTGGCTCTTACTAAATGTGTCTTGTTTTGGTGTGTGGTATTGACCGCTGAGGTGTCATTTAGGCAGCTCTTTCAATGTGCTACTATGATCAGTTTATGTCATCACTTGGAGTTTATCAGTTTATCAATTGAGCATCTCACCTTCTTAGTTGGCAACTCTAAAACTTAAGAAAATAGCTTTTGGTTTCCCTTCTCCACCCTTTCAAAACCAAACAGAAAAAGACTATCTATATTATTTTATTATATTTTAATTAAAAGTCTACATCATTTTCACTTTAGAAGCTAATTACGTGTGCTATCCCACAGTGACACTGTCATGCAGAAAGGGCATTCTTCAATGTTGTCATTTACTGTCCCTGACCTCCATGGTACAGTGACAAAATTAGCTTCATTAGGGGCAGAGCTGGATGGTCCAATTAAGCATGAAATCCATGGAAAGGTTTATAGCTACTCCTTTTACTAAAAATAAAATACAGTACTGTCATATAATTCAAAAGGATCTAAGTCGTTTGCCATTGTGATTAGGTTGCAGCCATGCGATGTTTGGATGGCCACATGATAGGCCTTTATGAACCCCTTTGAGATCTTTGGCCACGAAAGAAGATCACAACATCTGAAGAGTTTTCTTGAATACATCTGACCTTTTACATATGGAATGAATGAGTCACCTTTCCTTCTTTTGGGTTCCCTTCAATGATAGATAGTGTTGGTCCATCAAGGTCGAAAACAGCTGTGCACAATGTGTACAATGTTGGTCCTGAAAATCAGAGAGATGAGCGACTATATCGAGTTTTCTGTAAAATAGGATATTGAAGGGATCAATTGCAGGTTGCTATATACCTGACATGTAGATGGGATATCTTTTGTCATCTATGTCTCCAAGGAGTGAAAGGAAATCTTCTTTTGATTCTTGCGGCAGTGAAGCTGCTCGTTTTTGTCTGCTACTTGAATTTTCATCTTGTATCTTTAACAATAAAGACATGATAATATGTAGTTTCCAATTTGATTAGTTTGGTGAAAAAGAGCTACCTCAAAGCATTGATCATCATGATAATATTGGAGTTCTATTGTTTTTTGTACCTGTGGAACTTGAAGGTGAAGGTACATGTTTGCATGGAAGAATGGTGATGCATTGACCTCATAGACTGAAAATCGATTCCTTGATGCTGTTTCTATATTCAGAATCTTTCGTTTTGGTATATCGATCAGGTTATAGCTGTGTCCAACAGACACTTCTGACGACTGAATTTTCTGAAGACACATGAACAATGACTATTAAGATTTCTTTTGGATGCTCATTTGGATGTCAAAGATACAAGTAGTCTTAATTTGGTTTTCGACCTTCAGAGCATCACCACTGCTCGTTGCTTCAAGAAGATCTCTTGAAATAAAGTTCCGCCCAATGCCTCCTGCTACAATTTCATCTTCACGAGGTGGTACCGAGTTCAACGTGAAAGCCTTGAAAAACATCATTAAGGTACATTAATGGCTTGACAAATACACCTGACCTTATGTAAAAGGATATAATTTTTCAGATGGTTGCCGTAAAGAAAGTTTCATTTGATAAATTGGGTGTAGTCCTTTTTCGGTATGCTCTCTGTTTTTATATTGCTCTTCTGCTGCTGCAGTCTCAAACCCTCAAGAAAGAACAAAGTATGTATGACCTCTAAGAGTACTACTACGTATGTAGTACGAGTAGTATATGATAAGTTCAGAGATTACCAATCCATGACTGTTAAAGCCAAATGCACAGCTTGGAAGCTCCCCGGCGTATGTATATGCTGTGAAGGAAAGTCCATTGCCTAAATTCGCTTGGATCAAGTATCTGCAACACAAAAGGATGCAATATATTAATACTGCTACTTTCGGAATTATCAAGTTGCATATCCTAACTCTAAGCCATTAAGTATTTTGCATAATCTTTGATTTGTTTGGTTATTATTCAGCTCAGCTCAGAACTGCAACTCTTTCACTTAAACACGTGCTCCGTATCATACTTAACAGGATCGTGCTTACGTACGTGTGACCAACTAGAGCAACATTTGCATCTTCATTGTGCGCTGCTATGGCCATACTGTCACTTACTACCAGAACGGTAGAGCAATCATCTGGTGTGTCTTCAGGTATATTCGCTCCTTCGTTCTTTGGCATAAATGCTAATATCTCTTTCCTGAAGTTGATAAGTATTATCTGCACATTAAGAGAGTAAAAAAAGGACTTCATAATTAAGCCACCCAAAATAATGCTATCCTGCAACAATAGCTGAAGATAACACAAGCATATAGAGCGAAACCAGGGTTGTTATCCTGTACATCAAGAACAGGCACACTACTTCCTTCCGCAATCCCAACAAGCTCATCCCAGTAACGCGGGAACTTGCTCCGGTTGTTTTCAGTAAGAGAATCGATTATCGGTTTTGCAATTTGGGTTTCGGCATAAGGCCGGAGCTGAGTTTGTAGAATAAGGTCTGTTGCTAATCTGCTCTTTATCAAGGATGAGAATCTCTCCCCTATCAGATACCCCATTTCATAGGAGCTCTTACATGGTCCAACTTCAAATATCTCCATGAGTATTTTCTTCTTATACTACTTTCCCAGTAAATTTTTTGGTTGTTTGGTATAATCAAATATGTTGAGGAAGTTACTTCATGTGAAGCTTAGCTCCATCTAACCTTATCTATTCAGCCTCTACCTCACATGTTTGAATGCTGGGCCTTTGGGTCCAATTATTTGCCTTCAATATGGCATTTTATAAATTGTTCAAGATTGAATATTGATTTTGGGCCTTGATATACAATTGATGGGACTATAATTTTATACTAGCAAGTTGTCCCCTACTTTCCCTATATGGTTTTCTTGATGACATAAACTCTAGAAATCCAGCAAGAGTTTGTGTACTAGTGTAGACTAATGACAATTTTAGCTTTTATTCACAATTTAGGGTTTCCTTCAGCTTATTTTCAGTTCAGTTCAGTTCAGTTTAGTTTAGTTCAGATCCTAATATCCTTCTCTTATAAAATATTCAGTTCAGCTCTTATCAGTTCAGTTCAGTAAATCAGAACAGGCCCTTAGTGTCTGAAAATGACTATTAATTTTCCCATCTTGATATTAGCTTATATTTGCGGAGAGGACACAGTGGCCGGGCACCGGCTGTAATGCCATGCGGCGCAATGGTCTTCCCTGGTGGACCTTGTGTTGTGCCTGGCCGCGGTTATTTAATGACTAGCACTTTGCATCAAACATGACACATACTTGTATCATAAAGTTAGTTGTAATCCGTAGTTTTCAGATCAACTGATTGTCTCCCTTTGTTTTTTTTTTCAGTAAAATCCCCTATATTTGTCTTGAATGTAAATGGTATTTTGGTTGTTGACACTGAGTGGTTGCAAGCTATATTGCCTTGCGCCTTGCTCGCATTTTATGGAAGATATTAAAATCAAATGAGGTTGAATATTGTACCGAATTTTCATTTGTTTAGTACGTACTCGTAGTATGTTAGACGTAACAAGCCAACTGCCACTCTTGAGTTATGTTCCCCCTTTTGCATTTAGCTGAGTAGCAAGTTGGAGTTCAATAGTAACTCTTCCAGCTACATAATATTGCCCTTAACTCGCAAGTTCGATGCTTATTTGCGAAGGGGGAAACAAGGACCAACACCAGTAACCACGTTCCACCATTTTAACAAACCATGAATCTAAGGCACCTGAGGATCATGGAGTGGAGGGACGGTTGGTTTGTCCCTCCATCTCCCCTAGGATTGATTTGGGTTCGATCCTCATCTTACCCTTCCTGTGATAGAAGGGTCACCTCCCGTATCTTACCATGTTATTAAAAAAAAAAAGAGCACCATCTGACAGAGTTCAAAAATCAAGAATCTATTCTAAATCACCTCTAAATTTAGGTGAAATATATGTATATACTCCATTGTCATATGTGTACTTGACAATGACTAATTATCTAATTAAATTTATCCATTGATCGCTTAAAATGAATGATTCAAAATCAACATTGACTCGAGTATTATATGTCCAAATAGTGCTTAATTATCATATCGGCTCAACTTTTACCTCGTTGAAATACGACTCTTCAAACACGAGATGATGATAAAATTGGATGTATCCGATTGCAAAAAAATGAGACTTCTGTTAGGGCAGCAATAAAATGAGGTACAACCATTAGGGGTGGGACTTTTCAAACCGAACCGTAAAACCGTCCGTTACCGAACCGAACCATCACGGACCGAACCGTTTATAACCCGCTAATTTTAAACCGAAAATCGAACTGAACCGTATAATGTCAAACCGAAACCGAACCAAACCAATTAATGTTAACCCGTTACGAACCGTAAACCAATAACAAACCAAACCGTTTATAAATCGAAACCGTTTGAACCGATTAATGTTAACCCGCTAACTGTTTAAACCGAACCGTTTATAAACCGAAACCGTTTAAACCGTAGGAAAAAACCGTTTAAATCGAACCATTTACAACTCGCTAACCGTTTAAACCGAACTGTTATAACCCATTAAACCGTTTAAACCGAACTATTTTCAAACCGCAACCCGTTTAAACCGATCCGATTACAAACTATTTAAACCGAACCGTTTACAACCCGTTCCATTCAAATTGAACTATTTACAGCCTTTAACAATTTGTTAGAATTCCACGAAATATATTTGATGTTTAATGTAATTTAACAGTACAATTTTTTTTACATATAATTATTGATTTAAATTAAATTTTTTTGCTATTATAAATTTAAAATTATATTCTTGTATAACTAAATTAGGAGTTATAAATTAAATAAAAAAATGAAAAAATTTGGCCACCCACCCAATCCAACCACCCTCCACCCACCCACCACTGTAACCCACCCTAACACCACCCCCGCCGTCACCCCAGACCCACCCTAACACTACCCCCCACCCACCACCGTTACCGTAACCCACCCCCACCCCACCAACGTCAACCCAGACCCACCCTAACACCACCCCCGCACCCACCATAATTACCGTAACCCACCCCACCCCACCCCACCACCCACCGTAAATAAAAAACCCAGACCCAAACCTTACCCCACCCCATCCACCACCGTCACCGTAAATAATAAAAACCCAGACCCATACCCCACCCCACCTACCACCATCACCGTAACGTACCCCACCCCACCCCCTTAACAAACCCCACCCCACCCCACCCACCACCGTCACTGTAAAAAAAAAAAAAAAAAAAAAAAAAAAAAAAAAAAAAAAAAAAAAAAAAATCAGACCCAACCCAACCACACCCACCACCGTCACCGTAACACACCCCACCCCACCCCATACAAAAAAATCGAAAAAAACCCAAACCCACCGTAACCCCACCCCACCCACCCCCACGAAACCCAACATCCTCGAAACCCCCCAACTCACTCTAATTGCTCACCCACCATAAAACTCCCTCCCTCCCTCGAAAAATCCTCCCTCCCCACCCACCCGAACCCAGTCTAACCGCCGCCGCACCCACCCTAACTCGGCCCCCTCCGTTGCCCACAACTTGAAAAAAAATTAAAAAGAAAAACAAAAAATAAAAAAAGGAAGAACGAAAACACCTTATATATTAATCCTGAATTTGGCCTCGAATTTGGTTTTAAAAGGCCAAATTCGATCATGAAACAACTAGATCAAGAGTTTCGTGGTCGAATTTGACCATAAAAACTGTCGTGCGTGGTGCCGGTGGACGGAGACGGAGAAACGAGATGGAAGAAAGGAGAACATAGACGGAAGAAGGAAGAGGAGATGAGAGAGAAAACGAGAGAGCAGTGAGCATATTAGCAGCCATGGCTTCAAAAAATTGATAATATTACAGAAGAGGATTAAGAAAACGAGAAAGAAATCAAAAAGAGTACTAAAGAGACGATGGTAAGAGTGATTTGATTGGTGGAAAAGAAAACACACGGATCGTGAATTGGAATGTGTGCGATGATAGGCCGTTAGATGACATGCAAATCAATGGCTGATATTTAATATAAGACGGTGACACGGATCATGGGATAATGGATTTGGATAGTATGTTTTTTTTATTCATAGCTACATACTAATAAAAACACTACTGTACTCTTAACTTTATGTAACTTATAAATTGTAAGAAACACAAATGTTTGGAAATTGGAATTGATTCAATATGACATATTTAATGTATATTAGTTATATGTATATCAGTATATGTAATAAATAATAATGTATGGTACGATTGGTATCATACTATCATTGGTATGTATAGATAATCGATAAATGTATCTAATTATTAAAACTTAAAACAGTTGATGATCGATCTAATTGAATACTTCTACTTCCCCACCCGTTTTCTTTAACTTGCAAGTTGCAACATATATATGTTGCAGCCTTGTAGGCACGTAATCTTAAAAGGTGATTAGAGAGGGTAAGACAACAAAGTAATTCAGCAATATAACTTTAACACCAAAATTATGGAATAGTTACAAACAATTGTCAATTATTACTTTATTAGACTAATGGGAAATTGAATAATCGTGATTTTTAATTAAACATCCAAATATAGTTCCGTAACATTAAATTATTAGTTTATTACAATATCAATTATCGATTTATCGTATTCAAAGTACCAATTCATCAAATCATGGTTATGACGCGATCTTTAAAACAATTAAAACAAGAAGCTGATAGCCTGATAATATTTGATAATGAAACAATAATACATTAATACCTTATAAATTTGTAATAGACTAATATTTAATAAACAACAACAAGACTATAACCAAATTTGAAACATAAACATTAACATGATATAGAATGAATGAGAATTTCTGTAATTCTATATAATCTGATATCTGAATCGATTTATCGTATTCAAAGTAGCAATTCATCAAAACATGGTCATGACACGATATCTAAAACAATCCGACAAGAAGCTGATAACCTAATAATATATATTTAATAATGAAACAATAATACATTAATACATTATAAATTTGTAATAGACTAATATGATAATATCGAATAAACAACAACAAGAGCATAACCAAACTTGAAACATAACATATTAACATGATATAGAATAATTGAATAAATGAAGATTTGTGTAATTGTATATAATCCAATGTCTGAAAATAAAGTGACGAAGTTCCAACTTTATATAAAACGAAAATAGCTAACCGGTCAAAAATCTCTTAAAACCCAATTTCTACTCGATCCATTATTTTTTTCACCAACCTATGCCGACCCGCTAATGAAATGGAAATACTAGTCCCAACTTGATATAAAACAAAACGCGCTAACTGGTCAAAACCACTTTTTAGAACTCGATTTCAACCCGATCCTATTTAACTGATTACCAAACTAACCCGAACGATTTTAGCACCAAACCGAGTATAAACCGAACCGATATGAATCGAACTAGCATTAACCTGGGTAAACCCGCCCCTGAACCGACCCATTTCAAAATAATCCGTTCATGACCCGAACCGATATGAACCCGGACCGACGTTGACCCGGTAAAACCGCCCCTGAACCGATCCGTTTCAAACCGGTCAGATCATGACCCGAACCGTTTATAAACCGAACGGGCATTGACCCGGGTAAACCCGTCCCTGAACCGACCTGTTTCAAACCGACCCGATTATTAACCGAACCGTTTAAAAACCGAACCGGCATTGACCCGAGTAAATCCGCCCCTGAAGCTTCCCATTTCTAACCGATCTGATTATGACCCCAACTGTTTATAAACCGAACCGTTTATGACCCGAACCGAATTTAAATCATACAAAAATAAACCGAAACTGAACCGACCTATGACTAATCAAAACCGAACTGAACCGACCCGCCGTCTAAA